TGATGTGCGACGTGACGACGACGACCGCGAGAAGTCTCTTCTCCAAAACCAGCTATTTTGGGACCGAAGAGGTCCTGACAACGAGCATCGTCTCTCACTAACGCAAGGGCGCTAGAACATGAGTTGCCAAAAATTTAATGCTAATCGGACTTTTAACTCACCTGCTATAAATTTTCTGGGGACTATCTTCAGCGAAAAATTCACCTGCTAACAGATAAACAAAAACGCCTAGCATACCAACTGCTGCGGCAACGGCGGCATAGAGAAAAGTATTGGACGCTTTCTCAGCAACCTAGAAATACGGTTGAAGCTTTTTTGTAACATATAATTTACGATACCACATGTGTAAACAATACCATAAATTTTATGAAACATAATATGATGTACCTTTACACACTATAGAGTTTAGTCCCAACAGAAAAATGAAGCTTAAATCTAAAAACATGCGATCAACCGAATTTTTTTAGTCACAAAGACTATATCGTGAAGCAAAATAAGCGTTTATTCGCTCCTCTAGCAAACAGTTGCCGAAAAACTCGAGCTTTTTTATCGCTTGTATTGCCGCGAATTGCCAATAATGATTGAGGAGAATTACGAATTTTTCAAATTTCAATGTAAGGCTATGTTGCATGTCTATAATAGACGCTACTGCACAATTAGTCACTAACTTCAAATATATTTACACTTCATCAAAAAAGCAAGTCTGTAGTAAGTCACTTTACAAGCTAGAAAAAAGGTAAAGGGATACTCAAAAAACAAATTTTTATTAGACAAGCAATGAAGGTGCAGTTTGGTGCGGGATATATAGATAGAAAATTAACTAACATGAACTGCATTTGAAAAGACTCACTTTCCCAGTAAAGGTCGTTGGCTTTTGTTTCTCTTTTATCAAAACTTCCTCGAGAATTGATCGCTGTAAACCAGTTTGTTTTTCTTCATGAGTCTCCACTATTTTTGTACGCTCATCTTTCTTGTTCGATAAAAAACGGTAACTTAAAAGCGGCCTGGAATCAAATCTGATTGTTGGAATTCGTCCTAACTCAGAAATTAAAAGCCACTTTCTCACCTATAGCAAGTATCTGCGACAAGTGCTCCCCGCGACGAGTGCGCTATTCGAGTCAGATATAAGACATTATTCTTGCCTTTTGTGCTGAGTCGCAAGATAGAAGCAGCGTTCATAATTTGAACATTGATGAAGTCACTGAAATACGTGGAGTAAGGTGAGTGCCTCTATCATGCGCGTACAGAAAAAATTCTCACGTTAACGTTCTGTACTTTTAGCATGATCAAGATTGCGCAGACCTCCAACTTTATATGACTACTCTGATAGTCAATTGTGTAACTAGATCTCGTCCTTTTAAGGCAGTGTCCGCGCAAAAAAGTCAGATCTGAGATTTGCTCACTCGGGCCTACTCGCTATATTGAATCCGAAAATCCACACTGGAGTG